GCAGATAAGACGACCTTCAGATAAGATGAGGTATAAATTTTCGTCGAAGTTTTATAGTTGTAGCATATATCTGTCCTATAAGATGACCATTCTATATATATATAATATAATAGAATTCTATCTTTTTCAGTAGAAGAATAAATCTCGAGAAGTATGTAAACTTTTACGGAAATATTACATCAGACTCTTTCTTATCAACCACGTGTCCGTGAGATAAATTATCAGCCGATGGCCAAGGAATACGAACAAATTCAGATCCGAATCGGACTTCTATATGAATTTATCGTGAATAATATAGATCAAAGTCCAAAAATCTTTCGGGGAGTGGTCCGCTCGAATTTGTCGGGTCTCGGACGACAGGCCGCCCGGTTGTGAGCCTGACAGAATCCATGAGCTGCTAAAACAGTACTGTTAGTGATCACAAGACGGAGGAGAAAGTTTTTAAAAAAATCTACGTTGAGACTACATTCGTTGACTTCCTTGTTAGACAGTAGGATGGATATTTAAATTTCGATTCCCAACTTCCGGTAGAATTCCTATCGTCTATAGGCTAATCTGACGATAGGCTAATCTGACTTAATACACTCCTCAAAAGTAAAATCGCAACATTACGAAGGTATGCGCATAGTCCTATGCACATTGCAGGACCGGTACAAGTGACAGATTATATGCAAATGATTAGAACACATATGTAACATATTCAGTAACGAATATCGTCTTTACGGACAGCTATACAGGCCGCTATACGGCAAGGCATACTATCAATGTGGCAATTAATTAATTAATTAATGGTTGCCTGAATTATCCCTTTCCAACCTGCGTTCACTTCTTTTTTCTTTTACTCTTTCCGCCCTATGGGCACTAAGAGGGCCTCTTACAGCAGGCCCATTATGAGTTCGGCCAGGTCCACAATGGGACGACCGGGTGGTGAGGGACGGGGGCCCGACATATCCGAACGGACCACCCCCCGAAAAAATCCTGGGAATTCCTTGACACGTCCGGATTCGATCCCGGGTCCCCCAGAGCAGTAGGCTGCCACCTTGACCGCTCGGTCATCCGGCCCAAGCTTTGTCCACTGCGACACGCATGTCGTCAACGGTATGCGGCGGTATTCCCCGATGCACCTCACGTCGGATGAGATCCCACGGGTTTCGATGGGAGAGAGAGACCCAGAGAAGCTGCCAGCTAGGAAGGATTTGAATTCCGTTCAGACTGGTGAAAGTTCGTCGTGCGAGGTGCAATCGGACATTGTTTTGCTGAATACCATGTCGGGTGTCTTGCACCAGTGGCCGACCACAGGCTCCACAATTCGCATGACGTTAAGCGGCCGGATGGCCGAGCGGTCAAGGTGGCAGCCTACCGCTCTGGGGACCCGGGTTCGTATCCGAACGGGTCGAAAAACCCCCAGGAATTTTTCGGGGGTGGTCCGTTCGGATATGTCGAACCCCGTCCCTCACCACCCGGCAGCCCCATTGTGGGCCTGGCCGAACCCATAATGGGCTTGCAAAAAAGAGGCCCTCTTAGTGCCCACAGGGCGGAAAGAGTAAAAAAAAAATTCGCATGACGTACTGGGAATCCGGGAGTACCTGAAATGTGCACCAGGGCTGTCCTCTGATCGAACATGATGCCTCCCATAACCGTGATGTACGGTGTGGGGCCAGTGTGACGCTCTGAATAAAGGACTGGCACGTAGTGTTCCCCGGGATACCGCCAAACCCGTCCACGGCTGTCATTCCTCCAGACAGAAGCGGGATTTATCCGTAAACAATACTCGAAGCCATTCAGTGGGCCAGTTCTGATGACGATGACATCATGCCACGCGCACAGTTCTGTATCGAGCGGTGGATGAACAAAGATGTACCCGTTGACGGCGACTGGCGATGATATCGCGTGTCGCATGCCGAGGTAAACGGGTCCCGACGATCCGTTCGGCAAACTGCCGGTCGACATTATATTGACGCATGACAGAGCACCGGTGCGATCCAGTTCCTCTTCAGCGTGTTCGCAGATGTCCCTGCGTCCATCGCATTACACATCACTAAATGGTACTCACACCGTGTCCAACACGTGTGGCAAAACTGTGCGCATTAACAAACCGAGGTTGCACAGTTCCAGGATAGTCTCGTTCTCAGCTTGTAACTGGTGATATTCAGCTCACTGTCGTTTCCGAGCATTTTCTACTCTTCTTCGAAAGTTCGGCTGCCGCGAACCGTCGCTGATAGCATTTACGGATCGAGCCAACTAATGATCTTTATAGCCTGAAACTGGGTACTACATGACCCGGTACGTATGCAAACTTAACATTTGCATATATCTGTCACCCCTATTCGGTCCTGCAATTTGCATGTGGCTACGCGTATTCCTTCGTGGTGTTGCGATTTCACTTTTGAGGAGTGTAGATCAGTGGTATTCAATCTATGGGTCGCGGAAAATTACCTTGGGGTCGCACTGTTAAAATGTTTGAATACCATTGGTGTAGATCAAGGGTGGACAACCTTTTTTATAACATGGGCCAGAATAAATTTTACGTTTTTTCCGCGGGCCATAGTAGTTAATTGACACCTTGTGACCTGTAAATTTTTAGTCTGCAAATATAAAATAAATAAATAAAAAGAAATTAATTACTACAGTCGATCCCCCTATAACACTGTTGATTATTCTGTTTTATATGAATTCCACNAGTTCTGATGACGATGACATCATGCCACGCGCACAGTTCTGTATCGAGCGGTGGATGAACAAAGATGTACCCGTTGACGGCGACTGGCGATGATACCGCGTGTCGCATGCCGAGGTAAACGGGTCCCGACGATCCGTTCGGCAAACTGCCGGTCGACATTATATTGACGCATGACAGAGCACCGGTGCGATTCAGTTCCTCTTCGGCGTGTTCGCAGATGTCCCTGTGTCCATCGCATTACACATCACTAAACGGTACTCACATCGTGCCCAACATGTGTGGCAAAACTGTGCGCATTATTTAACAAACCGAGATTGCACAGTTCCAGGATAGTCTCGTTCTCAGCTTGTAACTGGTGATATTCAGCTCACTGTCGTTTCCGAGCATTTTCTACTCTTCTTCTAAAGTTCGGCTGCCGCGAACCGTCTCTGATAGCATTTACGGCTCGAGCCAACTAATGATCTTTATAGCCTGAAACTGGGTACTACATGTCCCGGTATGTATGCAAACTTAACATTTGCGTATACTGTATCTGTCACCCCTATTCGGTCCTGCAATTTGCATGTGGCTACGCGTATTCCTTCGTGGTGTTGCGATTTCACTTTTGAGGAGTGTAGATCAGTGGTATTCAATCTATGGGTCGCGGAAAATTACCTTGGGGTCGCACTGTTAAAATGTTTGAATACCATTGGTGTAGATGATCGGATGACCGAGTTGGTAAAAACGGACATTTGGCATATTGTATATATTTCTGCATATGTCAAATGTCACGTAATTGACGTAATTTATTAAGGAAACGGATACGGTCACGTATACAGACTGATATTTTCGTTAATAAATAATAATATATATAAATTGCAGATAAACAGCTCGCGCCCGGTAATAACCTCAAAATAGGTTCTTACCGCACGCATAAATCCTATCTGTTTGACAGATAGGTTAAAAAAAAAAGTAAAGCAGCCTCAAAATGTAGTCAAAATTATTTTTAAAGCGGCTCAAAATCTAGTAAGTCGCCCAAATGCAATAGCTTAAAGCCCTACAAATATTTCAATCTGCTGCTTATAGCACAATGTTGCAATATTGAAACTCAGCCATATTTTATGAGAAGAGGGAAAAAAGGGTAGTCCATGGGTAAGGTAACATCCGAAAATGTGATACTGTAAAAGCAAAGCCATATTGACCAGATTAGAGTTGTTCTCGGTCTATTGTTCTCTTACGAACTAAGGGAATTTCGAACTATCCGGGTTCGAATTAACGAGGATTTCCTGTATATGCAATTTAATAATAATATTATTGAAAATTATTGTTCTTAATATTATTTTATTATTACTAATCAATAAAAATTTTATAATGAATATATATATTTACAAATAAAATTTGAGGATGCAGCCATTATTAAATTCTTAGATAAAAAGTAAAAATAGAAACTTTTAATTGTAATCGATATTAAGTAATTTCCTTTAATTAATTACGTAATATTAATTACATAATATTGATGATATATTCTCATATCAGAAATATTTTTGATTGGCAGAGTGATAAATATTCGCGGGAATTAATGATGGCGCTTAATATAAATAATGTTATTTTGCGCACGTGAAAGCTTATACCTGTCTGTTATATTAGGAGAATTAGATATTTTTTAGAATTATCACTTATGTAAGTTATTATTGGAGTTAGGAATCGTATAGAAGGTGGAATGATGTATTGTTTTGTATAATTTTGCTTTTCTTTAATTGTCGCAATGGTTCTGTTCCATAATGTAAACAAAAATACATATATCATTGAATCTATACTGATAAACTTATAACTATTACGGTACTTATCGGTTAGCAGGGCGCCAGTCAATTGATGCGATTCAACTCTAACCTAAACCTAAAACAACCTAAATTTAATTTACCCATTTGGGAAATTCTCTCTGAACTAATTATCAACCTAATACACGCGAGTTGGATCGCATCAATTGACTGGCGCCCTGCTAACCGCAAAGTATCACTATTACAATATTTGTGTTAATACACACTTAATTAAACTTGGTTAAAGTCCAGATATGTAGACCGTCATTGCGGCTCATCTCTGATTCCAGCAAACAGTGGGGACGCACGTTCTAACCTCACCTATCCTATTCTAATAATTTGATTGGTAATATTTATGGTAATTTTT